TGTATCGTAAAGTTATATTCGGAAAGAATAAACCAGTTTTATTTAAGAAAGGACTTGTGTCGCTAAAGTTTCGTCGGAACGAATTTACGGAAAATTAACTAACGACTGGAGGCGTAAAAATACCATTTAATATTCTAGACTCAGTAAACCTTGTTTGTTCTTACAATTTATTAATCATACAATATATTATATAATTTTATGACGAAGAACGTGCTTAGAGACTAAAAAGGTTTAGAGACGGCTTGAATGGGTAACAAAGAAACGTTTATTTCAAGTTGAACACAGTAACAAATATACAACGTTCCCACAAGGTGTTGTCACCATGATTAAAAACTTGTCGAACTCTGTTAAACTTTTAGCAAAATATTCTTCATTATCCATTCAAGCCGTCTCTAACATTTATTACAATTAATGTAATGTTGCCCAGCAATACGTCATAGATCCGTTGTAGGAAACTTAGTGTATTTTTTATGCTAAGAACAGATCAAGTAAGAAATCTATATATTAATACTGTTACGACAGCGGAAGTCACGTGACGCTAGTAACACGTCATGATATTCCAGAAGGATCATGTCTGTTCGGGCTAACTCTGGTCTTTTCTACGCACCCTATATTCTGTATATAAGTGCGCCAGATAAAGCGAAATTAATTAATCGGAATAGAATTGCAGAGAGGCAGAGATAGAGATGGACAATAGAGTCAAGCGCGGTAGTAAGTAAAGTGCGTGAATCGTTCGTTGTGAATTATAGCATATGTTTAAGTTAAAGTGACTGTGGAAATTAAGTGTATTGCAAAGTTGTATTGAGAAAGAATAAACTAGTTTTATTTAAGAAAGGACTTGTATCGCTGAAGTTTCTTGGGAAGAATTTCTAAGGGAAATTAACAAACGAACAGAGACGTAACAATACGTTTGTTCGTGTGTCTGTTACGGAAATGACGTGTGCGCACATACGTATTTAGAGAGTAAGGAGCGCGCGTATTATCGTGATTTATACCGCTACAGACCGGGTTTTGGTACCTGTGATGGGAAGAGCACAGGTAGCCCTTTGTGTAGCTTTGTGCTCAAACACAAACAACAACATTATAATAAACTAGCAGAGACCCGCAAGATATTTACGCTCAAATTTGTATCTTTATTTCAAGACCACTTCTATAACAGTTTAAGTAAAGGATTTCTAGAATAATACAAAACAAAATCTTGTCATACTATAATTCTGCTGTTGGTGAGCCTTATAAGCATGAGCAGTAATAATTTTATCCAGAATAACAGTGCAAGCAGTCTACCTGCGCCAAGATAGTATAATAAGATAGGTAAGTAAAAGTAAGACAGTCAAAGTTTTAAGTTAGAGTTTAGGGGTGTAAATTATTATTACAACGTTAAAATAGGCTTAGCACGGTAACTGTACTTTAGGCTTAGGTGTATTTCAACTTACTGGTAACTCGTAAAACAGGATAAATACATTGTTTTACTAAATAAATATAATGTTTAAACTAGTTTATTGTCTCTTTGTGTTTTAAGAATTAACTTGTTTATTTGAACTTAGATCCAATAGTTTAAATTCAGCTTATAGATATAGATAGGTTATAATACAAATCAGACTAAATACATTTTATTATTAAAGTTACGTATATTGTTCTAAAAATTATTAAGTTATATATAATTAAAGATAAGCTTTATTACTTTAGTGTGAAAACAAAGCAGTGATAAAAAATACTGTTACATATCTGCTTGTTTGTTTGTTTCCGGTAGAAATTCTTTCCGAGGATCTT